GAAAACGATGCTATTGATGGAGGACAGGAATGAAAAAAACTGAAAAAAGGAAGCACCACAAGACCAGAAACCTGGCTGTAGGATCAATGGTTTTCAGGCTTTTCTGCCCTTCCACCTTCAGGATTGCCTTGCCTGATGGGGCACCTGCAGTTGTTACATTGTGCAAGCTGTTTGGTTTACTTCTGTGGGCCGCGGGAGGGGTATTGAGATAGGCTCCAGAGAAGCAGAAGCAGGAGAGCAGCAGGAGAGAAAAGGGGAGAAAGTAGCCAGAGAAGCCCAAAGTGAAGACTTGCCAGGGGCTAGGAGGCCTGCAGGCTACCGTGTACCTGTTTGCCACACTACATGTAAAGCTCAATAAAAGCCTAATAAAACCAATGCGGGCTCCAGGACTCTCCTTTACCCCCATCTGCCGAATCATAAATAACCTGCTCTGTGGCCATCCTGGTCCTACACTGGCTCTCACAAGGATGGGGGTAGAAGAGATTAGCATAACCATCAACACAGTTGTGGAAACTAGGATCCTTCGGCACAGACTACACAGTTGTGAAAACTAAGATCCTTTGGCGCCAAAGCCTAGATTACAAAGCATAACATCCAAGCAGGTATCCCAGGGCGCACCCAAAGGTAAGATATGGAGATTGAGCCCATTGTGGAATTTCAGGTCTTTTCAGATTCTGCAAAGTTATCCCAAATCAGCCACTAACCCTAAAGCTTACAAGGAGTGGCCCCTCCCAGCAGAAAAGGACTATATCCCTCTGCCCACCTGTGACAGATACCTCTCTCCGCAGGGCAGCAGCCTCCCTGCCTGCCATGACCTGTACCTGCCAAGGCTTCTCCTCACTGACTTCCCTCAGTGGAGGCAGCTCTCCTCAAGGCCGCTCGCCTGCAACCACGCAGGCCTCTCTCAGCAAACCTGTCCCTTTCGGAGCAGCTCTTCCTGCCCACCTGTGTCTATGTAAGTGTCTCACTCTTCTGTCTCTTGCCCTAATAAACCTTCCCTTTAAATATAACTAGTGTCTCTGTCTCGTGGAGAAACTCGCCTGGGGAATTCTCCATGTGTCGCTGAAACGGAAGCTGTGGTGAAACCTTTCCCAGAGTGACCCCAAGGACCCCACATTCTAAACCCACAGACCACAAAAACCACATCACTATCAATGTAAGAGATATGGACACAGTTGTGTATAAAAGGAACCCTTGGTCTTTATTTTTTGTTTTGTTTTGTTTTGTTTTTTTGTTGATTTTTTAAAAATAAATTTTATTTTTATATTCCCCATATAATTGGAACCCCCTTATTTTGACCCCGATCCTCCCCTCCCCGCCCTCCAGCCCCCATAGAGTGTCTCTGGTTCATAGTTGTTTGTTGATTTTGATTTTCACTTTCTTATAGTTATTCATTTTCCTGGTCCCTTATTTAAGTTTTCTAGATTCCTGCTATGAGTGAGACCATCCGGTATTTCTTTTTCTTTCTGGCTTATTTCGCTGAGCATGATCCCTTCCAGCGCCATCCATGTTGCTGCAAATTGCATGTGTTTATCTTTTTGAATGCTGAGTAATATTCCATGTGTATATGTACCACACCTTCTTGATCTCTGAAGAGGAAATGCAAATGGCCAACAGGCATATGAAAAAATGTTTCACATCACTTGTCTTCAGGGAAATGCAAATCAAAACTACCATGAGATACCATCTTACACCAGTGAGAATGGCACATATTAAAAAAACTAGCAACAACAAATGTTGGCGAGGGTGTGGAGAAAAAGGAACTCTTCTGCACCGTTGGTGGGAGTGCAAACTGGTCCAACCACTATGGAGAGCTGTGTGGAGATTTCTGGACCTACTAAACATAGAGCTTCCATAGGATCCAGCAATTCCACTCCTAGGTATTTACCCAAAGGACACAGAAACATCAATTCCAAAGAGCACCTGCACCCCTATGTTTATAGCAGCACTGTTTACAATAGCTAAGCTTTGGAAACAACCCAAATGCCCTTGGTCTTTAAACCGGTGCTCAAACCTTACGGGGCTACCCAGGTCTGGGACCTCATACATGAATAATAAAGCTTCTGACCTCACCATTCCTGAAGTACCGATTGTTCTTCCTCTGCCTGGATAAAAGGCCAGAATTTATTTCTACAAGAGCAGTATAGAAATGTAACAGAATAAGAAATATTCAATGATACTGTTTCAGGTTTCACTTTGCAATTAACCTTGGAGAAAATACCAAAACACCACCTGTATATTTTAATGTAGTATCAAAGTGGAATATTTCAAATTGTCTGAAAACACTACTTCAACATATTTGTGTAAGGCAGTGTCTGCATAGTTATAGTAAGGCAGTGTACATTTTTTCATAGACTTCAACCAGAACAACAGACCAAATGGAGAAGAAAATATGAAAATGCAAAGGTCTTCTAATGAGACAGACAAGAAAGACAATTGCAAAAATATAAAATGCAAAAGATCCACTCTTCTCATTGCCCCGATTATTTTCAGAAATGTTATTTCTGTTAAGAACACTTTCCGTTAACATGCATTGGGTTATACATATTATTCTAAATGAAATAGTTACATGATTAAACACAGCTTTATTCCTAGTGTGGTAAATATGGGTAGTAATACCTCATAAACAAAAGTATACTTGGCGTCCTCACTTATCTGTAAGACTTTATGCAGATTCTGAAAGGAAAATGACTGAGAAGCGCTGACCCAGTCCTTGGGCCTGGAATCGGGGAGACAGTGTGACAAAGCTCTGGGTGAAGAGAGGAGAGGGCAGAGCAAAGCCCCAGGGCCCTAGTCTGGTTCTCATAGTTCCAGGCCCCAGGGCTGTGTCTAGGGCAGGAAGGTTACTGTTGGGGACACCCCACTGCCCCTTAGCCTCCCTTCTGTCTCCACCACCTGTGCTGGGCCTGGACACTTGTGACTCCTCCCCAGTTCTCAGTCCCCAGTGCCTGGAGGTTCCAGAGAAGCCAGCATCACTGCTGCCCAGTTAAGTCTCTGTCCACCAGCCTGGAGTCAGAAGCTCCCAGACCCCAGCAGTGCTGGTCATGGGGCCCCCAATTCTCCTCCTGCTGCTTCTCTCCAGGGCTGTGTCCCAGGCCTGGGCTGGTGAGTGCAGGATGGGGAGAGAAAAGGCTTCTCTGGTGGAGGCTGTTGCCTTAGGCCCCTCTGTCCCCCCACGGTTCCTCTCAGTCCTAGTGCCTTTCTGTCCCCCCCACCCTAGCTCCCACTTTTGTCCCCCTGAGTCTCACCCCTTCTCCACCTGATGTCCCTTTTCAAGCTCTGGAGGCTCCTCCTTCCCCGAACACTTTCTCCCCTCAGGCCCCATCTCCCTGGGACTCAGGACCCAGGGAGATGTGTCAGCCTGGCTTTCACCCCTTCCTGCCTCCAGGCTCCCACTATTTAAGGCTTTTAGAAACCAAGATCTCCCAGGGCCTCCGGTGGCACAGTGGTTGAGCGTCGCACTGCAAAGCTGTCCGCAGCCTCTGCAGCACTGGTTCAATTCTACGCTGGCCAGGGAGAAGCCCACATGGCACAGCAGACCTCTCCTGTCTCGCCCACTGCTCCCCTCAGTAGTGTTTTCGGTCCGTCTGCCTGTTCTGCTCCCTACTCTGTCTCTGGTGAATCCTCTTACCCTCCCACGCTTCTGACCTGTACCACCAAGACCTCCCAGCCCAGCCTCAAGGAGCCCCAGTACATCGCCGTGGGCTACATGGATGACACACACAGTTCAGGCGGTTTGACAGCAACTCTCCAGGTCACAGTGTGGAGATGCTGGAGCCCAGGGCGGAGCAGATGGGACAGGAGGATCTGGACAATGATACAGAACCAAAGGCAAGAGGCACAGAGGTTCAAAGCTGCCCTACATGGCTCCTGGAGACCTGCGCAGCTACTACAATCAGAGCTAGGATGGTGAACAATGTTTGCCCAGGGCAGGTCACAGATCCCATTCCACAGTGATTTCGAGAGGCTATGGCACCTGCCATAGTGGAGGAGGAAGTTTGGGCAAAGCACAAAATGAACAACCTGGAGGGCAGGTGCGTGGAGTGACTCCCAAGACTCCTGCAGATGGGGAAGGAGGTGCTGCAGCTCAGAAGTAAGAGGCGCTGAGGGGCCTTTCATCTCCCTGAGGCTTATACCCCTCAGGGAAAACGGAATCATGGTCAGAAAAGTGCCCCCTTCTGGTCAGAGAAGGAGCTGTCTGTCACATTTCAAAACTCTATAGTAGAGACTGGTCCAGAGGCTCCTATTTTTTCTGAGGGACAGATAAGGAATCCAGTTTCTCCTGAGAAAGAGGGGAGACCACCCCCTGAAATCACCCTGCATGGGATCCTTTTCACTGGCAGTCTTCTTAGGAACAATGAGTTTCTCCCTCAAGATCTTGATTTTTAGTCAGAGAGCA